CATACACACACACACGGGTGTTAACCGAGTATATATTCTCTATTCTAATAGTGTATGATTCATTTCTCTAAAGGAGTCAGCAGGTGTAAGAGAATAATAATCGTCAGCGTACACACAAATAACAACAATTAACAAACACTGATCTGATCTGTGCTCAGCATCAGTGAAAAAACAAACCCACAACAGTGAAAACTGAACATTTATTCAAACAAATCATAAATATCCTCATAAATACACGTGGTGATCCAGCAAACAGTCTAATAAACACATGCTCTTGTCAGATCTTTAGCTGCATTGCATCATGTCGTATCAGTTAAATTATATAAATAAGCATTTAAATAAAGAACACACCTGGAGAGTGGATGAAACATACGAAACAAACAATAAATAAACAATAACAAACAATAAGAACAGTAATACCATGTTTTTTTTTTATTCTGTCCTGCTCATGCTATTGACGAAACCTTTTATATCAACATGATGACAACTGAAACTGAATATTGAGAAGGGGGTGGGGCTTATTTGTGTCTTCTGCCTCAAACACCTCATACTTGCTACATATTACTCAAAATACTGCAAAAAATGGTCGTTACATATATTTTTTTCACTCATTGGAGTTTTAAATATGCACATAGAGTATTGATAGCGCTTCACTTTTTTCACATGTTTTTATGTCACAGCCTTATTCCACAATGGATTAAATTGATTGATTTCCACAACATTCTACACACAAACCCTCATAATGACAATGTGGAATTTTTTTTTGAAATTTCTGCATATTTATTAAAAATAAAAAGCTGATAAATCACCTGTACATCAGTACTGACAGTGTTTGCTGTGAAGCTCTACATTGAGCTCAGGTTCATTCTGTCTCCACTGGTCATTCTTGATGTTTCAGCAGCTTCATTGGAGTTCATCTGTGCTCAATTCAGCTGATGGACATGATCTGAAAAGGCTACACCTGTCTATATAAGGGCCCAGGGTTGACAGTGCATGACAAAGCACAAACCAAGCATGAGGACAAAGGAATTGTCTGTAGAGCTCTGAGACAGGATTGTCTGGAGGCACAAGGCTGGGGAAGGTGACAGAAACATTTCTGCTGCTCTGAAACTCCACTGAGCACAGCGGCCTCCATCATCCATCAGTGGAAGATGTTTAACCACCAGGACTCTTCCTAGAGCTGGCCGGACATCTAAGCTGAGTGATCAGGGGAGAAGAGCCTCAGTCAGGGAGGTGATCAATAACCCGATGGTCACTCTGTCTGACACTCACTCTGATGGTCACTCACACCTGAGCTCCAGCGCTCTTCTGTGGAGAGAGGAGAACCTTACAGAAGGACAACCATCTGTGCAGCAATCCACCAATCAGGCATCTGTATGGTAGAGCGGGCAGACGGAAGACACTCCCCGCCTGGAGTCTGCATCTGAAGGACTCTCAGAGCATCAGAAACTAAACTCTCTGCTCTGATGAGACTCAAACTGAACTGTTTGGAGTGAACGCCAGGCGTTACGTGTGGAGAACAGCAGGCAGCTCTCATCAGCAGGCTAACAGCATCCCTACAGTGAAGCATGGTGGTGTTGGCATCATGCTGTGGGGATGTGTTTCAGCAGCAGGAGCTGGAAGACTAGTCAGGATAGAGGGAAAGATGAATGCAGCGATGTACAGAGACATCCTGAATGAAGACCTGCACAAGAGTGCTCTCCACCTCAGACTGGGGCGACGCTTCATCTTCCAGCAGGACAATGACAAAGCACAATGCCAACATATCAGTGGAGCGGCACAACAACAACAACTCGGTGAATGTCCTTGAGTGGCCCAGCCAGAGCCCAGACCTAAATCCAATTGAACATCTCTGGAGAGATCTGAAAATGGCTGCACACCATCACTTCCCATCCAACCTGATAGAGCTTGAGAGGAACTGCAAAGAGGAACGGGCAAACATTCCCAAAGACAGGTGTGCAGAGCTTGTGGCGTCATATTCAAGAAGACTTGAGGCTGTAATCCAGGGGTCACCAAACTTGTTCCTGAAGGGCTGGTGTCCTGCAGATCTTAGCCCCAACCCTAATCAAACACACCTGAACAGCTACTCAAGGTCTTACTAGGTATAGTTGAAACATCCAAGCAGATGGGTTAAAGCAAGTTACAGCTAAACCCTGCAGGGACACCTGCCCCTCCAGGACCGAGATTGGTGACCCCTGCTGTAATCGCTGCCAAAGGTGCATCAACAAAGTATTGAGCAAAGCCTGTGAATACTGATGTACAGGTGATTTTACAGGTGTTTTATTTTTAATAAATATGCAGCAATTTCAAAAACTCTCTCTTCACACTGTCATTATGGGGGATTGTGTGAAGAATGTTGAGGAAATCAATAAGTTTAATCCATTTAGGAATAAGGCTGTCACATAAACAAATGTGGAAAAAGTGAATCGCTATCAATACTCTCCAGATGCACTGTAGATGCTCAATATATTATATAACGTAATGTATTATATAATAATATAATAATGCTTATATTATTATAGAATTAAAAATGGCCATATATGAGCACACATATGACATCATATCTAATATATTTGAGCATATTTACGTGCATATATGCTATTCAAAGGGTGGAAAAACACATGTAAACAGCCATTTTTGCTATATTTCGAAATATATGTTGCATAGATGACATTTTATATATGTAATATGAAACTCAAATATGAACTTTTATGTCCTATATGTTATTCGCATATAATGATATGCATCAGATTTAACAATGGGCACTAGTAAAATAAACAATTGGATTTCATGCTGACTTTAAAGCTGACCTATTCTGCACCTTTTTACAAGCTGCGAATACGTCTCTGCTGTCTCTCTCGTGTGTGTGTGTGTGTGTGTGTTTGAGTCTGAGCTGAGAATAGCACACAGATAAGGTTCTCCAGCGCTCTGAAACTGACCCTTTCAGGCTTTGATCCTAATTTTGGTGACTGTCGCTTTAAATGCAAATGAGATGTGTGTTTGTTTGTTTTTTCAGAAGAGGGCGGAGCTACAGACGGCTATGACTTCCTAAACACTCAATACTCTTTGACAGCTCAAACACTCTAATGGCGAATGGACAGACGGCTGCTTCTCACTCAGGGCTGCTGTTTATGCTAATGAGGGAGACTAGTAGGCGGGGCTTTCCACTTCTGATGACACGTACAAAGGGAGAATGTCAATCAAAGTGTTTCTGCACTGTCTGATCATAATAAATACAATTAATTCCTGTTGAGCATTAGAGACTGGAGATACTCACACACTGCTGACACACACACCCCTTGTAGTCATTTCTGCATAATAGCTTCCCATTAAAGAGTAAAGTAAAGGTAAAACCTGAAGCGTAAGTCTTATAAGTTGAAGTGTATCTCACTCTTCCTCTTTATCTCCTGCGCGTGGTCCTCAGAGATGAGCTGTGAACGTCACAGATGTCGAACCACTGCTCATGCACGCGCCTGTGAGCCAGCAGGCCGTTCATTGGGAGAAAAGCCCTCCGCCTGCGCTCTTTCCCGCTCAACACTCTCCAGAACAGCGAGCCCTTCAGCAGGAACACTGTGTTGTGTGTGTAGGAGAAGTACGCGGCGTCCAGACTCCTCACAGGATGATCACCGGACACTATGGCTGGAAAAACCTCCGTCATCTCTTGTGGAGAAGAAGAAGCCAAACGGCGCATGCGCACATCAAACCTGAACACCTGCAGAGTCATATTGCACTTACTGTATAACACTGAATATGCACACACAGACATCACTATATGGGACGGTAAACATTTTCAACGTATACCGCGGTGTGGAAAAGTCAAGGTTTTAAAACCGCCAAAATGTCCTGTAATACCAGCCTGATCTCTGAGACAGATCCTTCAGCTCCATGGCTCCTCGGCTATTGAACTCGCTTCCGCTAGATCTAAGGAGCAGTGATAGTCTTCACACTTTTACATCCCGTCTAAAGACCCATCTTTTTAAGCAGCTTTTTCTTTAACAATTTTTTATCATGTCTTTTTATATTCGCTATTGTGTTTTAATCGGTTTGGTCAATAATTGTTTTAGTAATGTTTAATTCGTTGGCTGTTGATGCTTATTGTAAGGGGACCTTGGGTGTCTTGAAAGGCGCCATTTACAAATAAAATGAATTATTATTATTTATTAATTAGTTTAGTGACTAATTCGTATGAATTTGTGTATAAGTTCAGTCGTACGAAAATATACGATTTTAAAAAAGGAGGCGTGGCTCCTAACCCCACCCCTGACCCCAACCGTCATTGGGTGATGAGCAAATCTTACTAAATTGTACGAATTCGATCGTACAAATTCATATGAATTAGCCACTAAATCCAAAAGTTACGAATTGCCGTGAGGTATTCTGTAATACCAGCCTGATCTCACAATGAAACGTAAGTATTTGATTTAGTGGCTAATTCGTACGAGTTTGTGTACGAGTTCAGTCGTACGAAAATAAACGATTTTTAAAAAAGAGGCGTGGCACCCAACCCCACCCCTGAACCCAACAGTCATTCGGTGATGAGCAAATCATACTAAATTTAAATTGTACGAATTCGAATTTTAAAAAGGAGGCGTGGCACCTAACCCCACCCCTGACCCCCAACCGTCATTGGGTGATGAGCAAATCGTACTAAATTGTACGAATTCGATTGTACAAATTCATATGAATTAGCCACTAAATCAAAAAGTTACGAATTGCCGTGAGATTGCGTTGGTAATACCGTTCCAAAGGTAAGTGTGAGGTTTTTTTATTTTATTCAAGTTTTGTTTTAGGACAGCAGTTTCTCCAGCAGAAAAAAAATCTCCAAAGACGCCGTTTTCAATGGTAAATAAATCAGTGTTTTTTGAAACTAATGCAGACGGCAGAAGTCAATTTTGAATTATTCAGCCTGACATGTTCACTGCTGCAAAATATTATTAATGTTTCTCAAAGTAAAATATATTGTGTTCAGAAGGGGAAAAGTTGTTGTTTTTTACCCAGAC